GCAACTAGTTAATAGTGAAAATTGGTCCCTATACTAAAGTGTTACCTCACTGTTTTTACTGTATTTTTGATCAAATAAATGCAGTCTTGATAAGCATAAGTTATTATTAAAAATAATCTTACTGGCGCCAAACCTTTGAATGCTAATATTCTTGTGAATTTTTATTTTTTATTTTTATAGGCTATTCTGGAAAATAACCTTCCCTCGGAAATAGTGAGCAAGATCAACTTGGTGGACCTGGCTGGCAGGTTAGTGTTTTAGTTTAAACTTAAACCAAAGTCTCCTAGTTTAAAATCCAGAAAGCTGCATTCACTGACATGAAACAATGATATGTGGCCAAGTTGCCCTCTGGTGGTTGATCACATAATGGTGAACATTAAAGTGCTAACTTGACTTGAAATATCACTCTTTGTGCTGTGTCAGTGAAAGAGCCGACCCTCAATACTGCAGAGACAGAATAACAGAAGGCGCCAACATCAACAAATCTCTTGTCACCCTTGGCATCGTCATCTCCGCTCTTGGTAGGCACTGGCCTTCTTTATTCTTACTAATCCCCTGTTATCTTCCTTGTCATTACTTTGCACTTTGTTTTTCTAGCCCAGAACTCTCAGATGTTCAGCAGCAGTCAGAGCATTAACAGTGTGCTCAGTGAGGGTGAAGGGAGCACTGTGGGTAGTCATTCCAGCTCTCTGTCAGGCAGCGGGCGCAGACAATGCTTCATTCCCTACAGGGACTCTGTCCTCACCTGGCTTCTCAAAGACAGTCTGGGCGGCAACTCCAAAACCATCATGATTGCAAGTAAGCCATTCAGTCAAGATTTGCTGCTTTCAGTGCTAGTAGAATTGATTCTGAGATTCATTTTCCTCCAGCTGTCTCACCATCCAGCAGCAGCTACAACGAGACTCTGAGCACCCTCCGCTATGCAGCTCACGCCAGGAACATCGTCAACAAGCCAAGAGTCAATGAGGTGTGTTCAGATGTGTCCAAATGTTTGTAGAACTTGCTGTACCACCATCAACAGAAAATGATGTTAATGAAACTAAAATAAAACATTTCGTTTTATCTCAGGATGCCAATGTGAGGTTGATCAGAGAACTGCGAGAGGAAATTGATCGTCTGAAGAGCATGCTGCTTAACTTTGAAATGGTACCAAACTTTAAAGGGATAGTTCACCCAAAAATTAAACTTCTGTCATTAATT